TCAAATCACTTACCTTCATCAGTGAGGATGCTAATACAAAGAATTGCGCAATTTTTTGCATCGACTTTCAATTTTGTCACGATGCATCGCCATTGAATCAGTTACTGCCATACCTTGTTTTATTGACGGCGTTCATCTCTGCCAATGTTACTTTATTTATATTATTCAGTAATTCATACTGACCGAACCAGAGACAGGTACCAGTGGGTCTTAACACAAGAAGTTGCTTAATCTTACCAATCTTACAACCAGCCCAAAGTACCTAAAGAATGGATAATCCTTTCATTCAAATTTAGATCGTTCGTTTAGTTGCTGGAGATGACTGCTTCTAATTCCCAGTGATTTCGAGAAATTAAAGATTTGACCTGGCAACAAACATTCTTGACGCAATTCTCGCCCACCGCATGAAAATCTCTGAAGCAATGTTCGTCTCGCCTTCTTCAACCAAATTGCCATATGAAAACATTTACGCTCGCACGAAGCTCAGTCGTAAATGAAATATTTCAACTTGTGCTCGCATCCTCAGAAACACCGAAGACGCCATGCTAACTATCGCAATCTTTTCAGTATGTAGCAATTGTTTTCGCTTTTTGTTGCAATAACCGTTCTTCCTCTGTATTCGACTTTTCTGCTTGTTGTCGCCGATTTTTCTTTTAACGTCACTGATATATCTGCAGCTTCTGCACAGATATGCTTTTTTGAAAGACACTCATCTTCGGGATTCCATTCAAGAAATGAAAAAGCTGAAACCGAAATCTGAAAAAACCTGTTTCGTTCGAAATACTATGCACAGAAAATTTTGATTAATGAAGCCCGGCGCACCATACTTTAACGGACGTGTTTCGCACGCTTTATAACACCTTCATAAAATTCTCAGTTCAATATTAGATTGCCCATCTCTCAGTATGAAGATCAATTCAGTTCGAGTCAAATTAAAAATAATATCATTACCACAATTGGATCGTCCATGCAAGATGCGTCGAAACAAAATCGCGACGGCGGCATGTAGTGTTCATAAAATACACTCGTTAACATCCTTTCTTTGGTCCCTGGAAAAACCATTCAAAACTGAGCGCTTGACGGAAGCTCACCTGTAGTCCCACTGCAATCCCAAAATGCTTCCAAGCTTCGTTCCTGGATGCGCTTTTGTCTGTCGTTGTAATGCAGCCGAGCAAAAAACATACCTTTCAAACCCATCTACAAGCAATGATTAATAGCCTGCGTTCAGAAATTAATAACATCATAGGCTGTTTTCACGACGAGTTTCATGTTTTCATAAGTTCTCAAAGAGCGTAGACG